TTCACTCAAATCCAACTCTGAATTGATGTTCAAAACTCAAAAATTCACTTTATAAAATTTTAGACAAATACTCACAAATTTCACTTTGAAATCATCAATCAAATGCCAAAAACAAAGATGGATTCATAAAATATAATCAAAATCAAGTATAAAACACTTACCCCAATCCATGTGGTAAAAACCGCCTCCAAAATCTCCCAAATCCGAGATTTCCAATTCAAAATATGACCAAATGAATAAACCCTCGATATTATATGTTTCTGCCCAGTTGTTCTGCCTTATTTCTCATGCTAAACAATCCCGAAACTCGCTTTTGATGCCTCAAATGAATTTTTTGTAAAATTCTACTCAGGTTAGGCTTTTGAACCACTCCATTTGACATTATAATAAAGGAGATATGTTGGTTTCAATGTTTGAAAACCGCACAGATTTTTAAATACGAATTCAATTACAATTTCATAATTAATCTGGAAAAAAAATCTGGCAACCTAATTCTTAGTAAAATGACCATAAATTCCTCATACGATATTGAAACTTAATATATTTCAGTTGATATGATTCCAAAATTATGATATGGATCTAATGCTTCAATCAACACAGAAATTGAAGCTCATTTACTTAATGTGGTACCATTTATGCTTGAAGAAACGCGTCGAAACATAAAAACGAGTGCAACACAACCCAAACCTATCAGAAACTCACCCGAGCCCCTCGAGACCCCGTCCGAACATACCAACAAGTCCTATAATATAACACAGACTTACTCGAGGCCTTAAATCACTCATAACAACATCAAAACCACGAATCACTCCTCAAATCGAACTTAATGAGCTTTTGAACTTTTAACTTCCAAAACTCATGCTAAACCATATCAAATCAACTCGGAATAACCTCAAATTTTACACACAAGTCACAAATGACATAACGAAGCTATCCCAATTCCCGGAACCATAATCCAAACTCAATATCATCAAAATCAACGCTTGATCAAACTTATGAACATTCCAAACCTTTAAATTTCCAACTTTCGCCAATTAGTGCTGAAACCTTCTAAAATATCCAATTGGAAATTCGGGCATACGATCAAGTCCAAAATCGCCACTGGACCTAGCGGAACCATCAAAACTCCGATCCGAGGTCAAATACTCAAAAGTCAAACTTTGTCAATTCTTCCAACTTAAAGCTTCCTAGTTGAGAATCTTTCTCCCAAATCAATTCCGATTAACCTGAGAATCAAAACTGACGATTCACATAGGTCGTATGCATCATACGAAGCTACTCAAGACTTTAAATAGTTGAACATAGTGCAATTGCTTAAAATGATCTCTCGGGTCGTTACAAGGACATATTAGAGTTTTGGAATTTCCTAGTTCTACTAGACGTGGAGTTTGGGTGGTTTTCTAGGGGAATTGAAAGCATGGGAGGCATGAGGAAGAGATGGGGAGTATCTGGCGATAGTTTGGGGTTGATTCGAGGTGGTCGCTGTCGTGGGCGATTTTCGGTGGCGGCGAAAGGCGGAATAAGAGAGAGAGAGAGAGAGAGAGAGAGAGAGAGAGAGAGAGAGAGAGGGTGAGGGGGTTTATTGAT